ACAACCACAAACACACAACCACAAACACGCAACCACAAACACGCAACCACAAACACACAACCACAAACACAACCACAACACACACAACCACGAACACACACAACCACAACACACACAACCACAACACACACAACCACAAACACACAACCACAACACACAACCACAAACATGACAACAAACACAACCACAACCACAAACACAACCACGAACACAACCACAAACACACAACCACAAGCACAACCACAAACACATAACCACAACCACAACCACAAGCACACAACCACTAACACAACCACAAACACACAACTACAAACACAACCACAAACACACAACCGCAAACACACAACTACAAACACAACCACAAACACACAACCACAAACATACAACTACAAACACACAACCATAAACACAACCACAAACATAACAAACACAACCACAACCACAACCACAAACACAACTACGAACACAACAAACACACAACCACATACACAACCACAAACACAACCACGAACACACAACCACAAACACAACCACAAACACACAATCACAAACACACAACCACAAACACACAACCACACACACAACTACACACACAACTACAACCACAACAGAGCACACAACCACAACCACAACACACAACCACAGCACACAACCGGAGGACCCAGAAGCAAAATCGAGAGCTACAATACTCACGACCATGGCAACATGCTCCTCACTATGGCATCAAGACAAATGATTGAAATGCCATGGTGGGGATCACTCGAAGTAAAGTAATATTGTTCTTTTTTGGAGTATGAGTGGTTTGATGGGTGTGTTCATTATCCAGTAGGACCATGGAACAGGCTTCCTGTTTACCTTTTTTTACACTTTTGTTGAAGCTCCACTCTGCTTGAACATTTGCATTCGCCTCACAGCCTTCTCTTGTCATAGTGACCGCATTTTTACCCAGGACATGTGCATGTGTCTTATTGTTTCAGACTGCCTGGTCTTAGCAAATAGGGACCTTGACAGGCGCATGGCAGCTGTGACGCCGGACTCTCAGCGGGTTGCATCTGCGTTGTGGCAGCGTTGTGGCTTGATGTTCCAGTCTCGCGTCGCCTCGGCCTTGTTGCTTGCGGTGAACACTTGACTTTGATCACCGGGCGACACGTGGCCCAAACCATTCGGGCGAGTTTTTCTCACGGTCAGGCTGGCACGGCGGGTGGCCTCGGTACTGGGCGAGGAGAGCGTCCGATCAGATGATTTCAACTTGGGCTTGACCACTGAGGTTTTGGGTGGGTGGCTGGGTGTGTGGGTAGTCAGCTAGTTGGACGTGTGATTTTTTCAGGAGATGAGAGAAATTCAAAGTGACTCAAAGACGTTTCTGGCGTTCCAGCAATTGCAGGGAATTGCAGGACTTTGAGATTTGTGTTGTCAGGACATTGGCCAGGGGACTGTGGGCTATAGGATCAGGCGGGATGGGCTTTGAACACTTGCTCTAAGATGTGAGACGCCGCCAACGAAAGGCCACTCCTGCAACAGGAGACTCCGAACATGACTCACTGGCTCAGCATTGGAGCGAAAGTCTGACTCACAGCAGTAAGTGATCAACATCAGCTCAACACTCTTTTCGTCCATAATTCTTTTGTCCACACACACTTAGCCTGACTTTAGCCGACGGCCCAGTGGTGACACCATCGATGGAAAGCTTTGCTTCGTCACGGTGGGCTACTTGCTGCAGCGCCTGGTGAACAATCCAGAGGCGAGGACCCCGAATGTCGGCGCATCAGGAGCGGAGCATTCCGCCCACTTCGTCGGTGGCGGATTTCGACCGACCGATCCAAGAATTTATGCAAGAACCTCAGGATTTCGACCGCTACACGCACGTGGTGCTGGATGAGGTGTGGCGAGGGAAACCTCTTTGAACATCGCATCCATCGGTCTTTGTTCCTCTCATCGGATTCGCAGAGTGCACCGGCCGCACGGCCGGTTGTGTGACCACTTCAGACATCTCGCGGCGCTACCAGGTACACGAGAGAGGTGTAGATGCGGACCTCCTGTCAATGGTCATCAAGCTGCTGATGTGGCTTGGTTTTATTTTTCGGATGTGGGTAGTGGGTATGATACCTCTGACTCATTAACATGGAAGTGGAAAATGGTCCCTTGGAAGACTACTTTCCTTTACGGACAGGAGGTTTTCCACTTCCATGTGAGTGAGTTGGAGTGTAACACCTTCAAATGCAATGATGGGAACGACTTGATTCCCTTCGGCTCCCTAGTGCTTTATTTCCGAAGGACAGGACGCCTTCGTCAAACACCAAAACGATACTAGACGGTTCTGGCGGCCAATGCAACAGATTTTTACAGACATCCAGATTCTAGCCTCATTTTCGCAGACCAACCTTCAGAGACTCTATCTTAAGAGAGTGTCTTCAATCCAATTTGCATATTTAGTCCATCTCTTTTCCATCTGAAGGTCTAGGAAAATCCTGGTGTGGACAGTCCTTCTCTTTCCTTCCTTCTCCGGAATCTGCGTGCGAGGCATTGCTGTCCCACCGTGAAGCTCATCGTGATGTCTGCCACCTTGCAGGACTGACGGCCAAGCGGCGGACGACGTCGAAATCGGACGGGACGGTCGAAACCGGACGACGGTTGTGGGCCACGTGTTTGTGAAAAACCTGTTTTGGCCAATGGGATTGAGGAAGGTACTAGATAGATCTAGACAGTGACCAGTGAAATCTAGTGAAGTAGTCACGACAATGTCAAACTAAAGTGAACTCCGAGTTTGACCTGTGTAGGCATCGCTCTTTGCGGACTACTTTTCATCCTTGCAGAGAAACCGGAAAGCGCTCCTTGGACGAACATGAGCGTCACGGTCAGGTAACTTGCCTGAGTGTCATTGAGTGTCACTCCAAGCAGAGAGCTTGGATGAGCTAGGCTCTAGCTGCGACGAAGCCAAGTTTGCTCAGAAACACGTGTTGAAACGTGTGGAACATGGCGAAAGACGTGACACCTCAGCAGAGGTCAGAGGTGCTGGCGGTCGGTGCTCGCTGCCACCCTGTTGAGCAACTCTTTTTGGACGACCTGGAGGAGCAGCTTCTTGGAGTGCAAGGACCACATGGATGATCCCGACAAAACGGTTGCCTTGTGTGATGATCAAGGATCATCATCCACGCAAGTGGGTCGTACGATTCTTAATGCTGGTGGTCGTTTGGGAAGGACATTTGGGAGCGCATAGAGATCTCATGAGATCTCTTGACCGCGCAAGTCGTGGGAGGCTTTTTTGTTGGCATCCACTGGGGGATGGAGCGACCTCGCTGCGTCTCGGCGGTCTTTGGGGGGTCCTCACAAAGTAGACGTCAAAGGCCCAAACGACTGGCCGGTGCCAAACGGACTGACCTCGTCGACTCCTCTTCGCCTCTTCTTCTCAAAAGGCATGGACCCGACGGGCCTCTCCGAGCAGAGGAGCTCCATGTTTGGGACAGGTCGATAGAGGTCGGTAAGGCGGAGGCGCGACGGAACTTCACAGGATCGGATTCACTTCTGGGTAGCAATTCGATTCGGGCCCTAGTCATTCAACTTGGACTTGCGGTCAACACCACAAACACAAAGCCCAAAACAATCCAAAACAGCAGCTGACTAGGACCGGACATGACCAGTTGGCACTGCTCGGCTTCCCAAGAGTTCTTGTTTATTGTAAGGGCTTCGCCCGGGTGCCGCCGACCCCTTTTCAAGAGGAGTGTAGCATGTGTAACTGAAGGCGTTAGTGTCGTTCCGGTGGTTGCCCGTCTGCGGAAAGAAGATGGGTGTTCTAGCCTTAGGCGTGGCCTCGGACAGGCTAACTGTGGCCTGTGCTAAAGCCCACAAAGGTGGAGATGCCAATGCCAATAAGGTTGCACTCTGCGAGGCGCCGAGAAGCGTCTGAGGGGGGGCCGTCGCCTTCGGAAGCCTAGAAAAGAAGAGGCTGGCCTCGGCTGCTAGCACCGTACGTGGCAGCCCAGGCCATGCCAAGGCTGCGTGGCCTCGGACAGGCTAGCTGTGGCCT